ACGTTGCGGTCAGAGAGCCGGCATCAGCATATGGCATAAATATACAATGTTACAGTTACAAACAATATAAAATTTTTTCTTAAATCACATGAAAGAGACCACTCCAAGAAAAATTCACCTGTATGTCTGGCCATTTGAAGCTCTGGGACAAGACACGTGTAAACACAGAAAAGGGGTACTAGCAAGAAATTAAAGGTGGGGAAGGAGAGGACAGTAACTTACCTATGCCGAAAACGACAATACCATGTACCTATTTAGCATTAAAAAAACATCTTCACATGAAACAAAATGTAGGTTTTGATAGAATTTCACGAAGCCCTAGTTGCGTGATCATTTAGGGATTACAAGTGAAAACAGGTAAAAATTTTAAACAGTGTGTTGATATATATATATATATATTTTAAACAGTATATATATATATATATATATATATATATATATATAATATATATATATATACATATATATATATATATATATATATATATATATATATATGTGTGTGTGTGTGTGTGTGTGTATCATCATCGTCATCATCATCATCATCATCATCATCATCAACATCATCATCCTCATCTAAATGGGCCCTGCCAACTGGCGTAGGCTCTCATGCGTCTCCACAGATCACGATCCCTGGTTGCCTGGAACAGCTCTTTTGATGATATCCCTCCATGCCATCGTTCTAGCCCCTCCAGCATCATCTCTGTTGGTCTCCCTCTACCCCTTTTACCACTGACCTTTCCAGTTGTCACGATGTTCTCCAATATCTCTCTGCTCATTATGTGGCCAAAGAACAGTGTTTGTCTCTTTCTTATTGTTCATTAGCCTCTTTCAAGCAATCGTTTTAGTTACTCTGGCCATCCAAGATATTCGTAACATTCGTCGCATAAACCACATCTCTGTTGCTTCCAAATTCTTCCTAATTTGTTCACTGACATTCAAAGATTTGCGGCCACATAGAAGAACAGGTTTCATGTTACATTTTAGCACCCTCTTTCTGACATTAAATGAGAGCGATTTATTGCATAAGATATTTTTTATTTTCTCAAATGCAGCTTTTGCTTGACCTTTTTTGCTTTTAATCTCCGTCACACGTTTTCCATCTGATGAAATGATTGTTTCCAGATATTTGAATTTATTAACTTGATTAGGTCTTTTTTCTTCAATTGAGATATCACAAGGTGGAATTATTTTCTTCTTTGATGTAACCATTACTTCCGTGTTTTTAATATTCAGTGAAAGTCCTTTCCTAGCACTCTCCATTCCCACAATATCCAGCAGTTGTTGTAAATCAGTTGCATTTTCTGCTATCAAAACTGTATCGCCTGCATAACGCAAATTGTTTATATTGTATCCTCCAACTCTTACTCCTTCTTATATATATATATATATATATATATATATATATGTTCTGACGGTCTCTCTTAGTCTTCCCCCATTTTCTTTTCCGTTCCGGGGTCCATATGAGGGCTTGATTGTGGAGTCTAGTCTTATCTATTATGAGTGTATGGTTGATTTAATTCCAGCGGCGCTTTTTTAAAATAAAATTTGATATATTAACTTGCTTGGCCACTTGTCTTATTTGCGTACTGGATCGGAAATCTGTCTTGTGATTTGGTCTTCTTGTAGGCATGTCTTCTAAAATGTCTAATCTTTTTATCTTGAGCTACCGTTGCTTTCCAACTCTCGCCTCGTGTATACACTTCCTAACGTTTGTTGGAGTGCCTATAATGTGTGTGAAGAAATATATGCTTTTATATTTTAGAGTCACTGACTCAAATGCGTTTACAGAAGCCTAAACTTTGAGTTTCATTTGTAGTGCATTAAATGCCCTTGTGTTTACCTGTGTTTGTATACGCTATTAGGACTGTTTTCATTGCTACTATAAAGGGCTGCGTGGTCTCAATGCATGTTGTCCTCCTCGAGTGCTAAAAGTTCCGTGTTCAATCCCCGGTAAAGGCTGGGATTTTTTCACGTGGACTTGGACTTTTAGTAATTTTCCCCTGGTGTCTGGGTAGTGAGATCGGACGCCCGTGTGCATTGTTGCGCACGAAAAAAATCCACTGCCAGTTGGAAATCGGAAAGAATAGCCTAACGGCGCTGCCTGGGCAAAATTACCAGTTTAAAATCTATCTAAAGTATATCAGGATCCTCGCCAGTGCTACAGAGCCTGTACGTTGTGCTGAGCTCCTTCATACTCAGACTTGACTTATAAGAAGAACGAAGAACTTATGGGTTACATCAGGGCGACAAAACTATATCCTTTCAGTCTACAAATGGAGGAAAATGCAACAGCCACCGTCTGTCAGGAGCAAAACATCTGCCACAACTAAAAACTGTGACCATGCCTATCGTCCATTTTGACCAAAAGTCCACAAAGCTACATTTGAAATACATACTGGGACTGTCTATGGCACATATATAGAAAGCCTATATTTGCTCTGTTGACGCATTCCGGAAATGTGCAAATAGAAAGCTGCGTGTGTGAATCATTCGAGACTGTCTAGAATACGTATCCAAAAGTAAAACTAAAGGACCCTTTTCCCACGTCTTCAGGAGTATTGGGCATATAGGGCTAGACCTACATTTTATAGACCAGTCGGTACTTGGTGGTGACGGCATCAACCTCACATCGGACGCTTTCACATCCCAGGACCTGTCGACTTAGGAAACCATGTGGGTTTTTTTTTTTTAATGCAATACGTACATAAAATAGGAGACTTAATTTCACATCCAACTGCAACTCGCTGCAGCCCAAGGTTGGTGTTCGAAACCGGATGGTTCCCGGGGTTCACCCAACCTCTAGGAAATGGGTACCAGAGTTAACACTCTGGGGTAAATATAGGAACGTCGCTGTAGCTACACAGTTTCGTGGGAACGGCGACACAGGCGGACAGTTTCTTATCAGCTGTCCGTACTGGTGGCAGAGCACTTATGGTTGATAACCGCGTGCAATGACGCTGGTTCACGTCTCCCGACTTGACCTTTTACCCTTATACTTTATCACAAGTACTTGTAGTTTTGTATTATTTTGGTCTCTGCCTGTGTAAAACATGTTCCTCCCCAACTGGGGATCGTAACGAAGGCCTCCTTTACTTCTTAGAAAATTTGCTAAATTTCCTGTCGCCCAATTTGGGTGTGATAATTATGTAAGCTAAGGTTATTATTTTTTAAAAAAAATACGTTTTGGTGCAGATTTGAACGCAACATTTTCGGTCCAGCAGACAAGCTTCTATTCAGTGTTCTATCGCTGCTGCCAGATTCTAACATCTGCCTGAGAGGCGAGGGGCGAATAGTCTTGTGTACAAATAACAGAGATCTGTAAAACGGATGTGCACGCACAACTCAAATTCTGGAACAAGTTGAAAGTTCAGAAGTGGACGAACAACCAGAACTTTCCGCCGGAGTTTACAGCCGGTGAACGCGAAAAAAAAAAGAGGATGAATCGCCACAATACACACACACAAACACACACACACAAATGTAATCTTAAAATCACCGATGTTTGAAACAGAAGTAAAAACATAGCCATTAATATATTAACGTTAACTGTGTAAGTCGCGGCCATTAGCCAGAAGCCAGGACAATGCAGAAGGAAGTATCAAATTTGAGATACCCAAGGAAAGGACAGATGGAACTCACAATCATCGAGATGAGCTGAAAAACAAATTGTCTTCCTTTTTATAAGCTTTTATAAAGCTCGGTTTTTGTGTATTTGTCTGGTAAAATAATTTTGGCCCTCGATTTTTTCTTCACTCTCACTTTGACTTCCTGACATCCTGTTTTATTTTTACTGATTTGTGTGTAGTGTTGTTTTTTCTTTTACTCTGCAATTACCATCTATTAAATCTTGCTGTGCTGTGGGCTTGTTGAATCATCTACTTTTACCAGGTTGTAGCAAGGTGTAGTTTTATATATTGGCTTTGGGCTTCTCGGGTGGTTTGAATGATTAATTTGTTAATCTTTTTGAGTGAAGCAGTTGCAGCGTCCCTATATCTCTTTCTTGGTCTTGCTCTCCGTTTCTTCATATATGTTCGCCTGCAGGTATCATACACGTTTGGTCTGGTGAGATTGTTACTGCATGACCAAACTACTCCATTCTGTGAATAAAATCCAGACAATGTCTTTCCCAGCCATTTCTAATTCTGGTATTTATGATCATGTCCGTATTTGTGTTGCTGGTAACCCTTTAAGGAGAATGTATTTTAAAGGTTGTTATTTTCTGTTCTGGGAGCCGCCGTGGTGCCGCCTGGGGATCTGAAGACCGCAGGTTCAAATTTGAAAGAAGCCGGACTCTTTTTCCATAAATGGCTTTGGCTCCCAGATCAACCCAGCCTTACACGGGTACCACGAAAATCTAGGAGGTAAAGGCTGCCGGCCTGCTAATTAATATATTTTGTGGAGTTTTGGGGAGGGATCTAAAAAAATGAATCATAGCGCTGTGGTTTAGAAGCAGTGAATGTGATCAACAATGTTATTTTCTTCCAGCAATACAGTTCCATGTCCGTAGTGGACACTTATTTGTGGAAAAGAAGGGATTAGGGATGAGTCGCCACAATACGCCCCCCCCCCCCCATGTGTATAGTCACCGATGTTTAAAAAAGAACTGGTAAGTACAACAATCACCCTTAAGCTGTTGACTTAATCTGTGTAAGTCGCAGCCATTATTGTGAGTAAGGGTAAAGGTAAAGTCGGGAGATGTGAACCAGCGTCACTGCACACAGTTATAAACCATAAGTGCTCTGCCACCAGAAGGGACAGCTGATAAAAAACTGTCCGCCTGTGTTGCCGTCCGCACGCAACTCTGTAGCTACAGCGACGTTCCTCCATTTACCCCAGAGAGTGACTCTGGTACCCATTTCCTAGAGGCTGAGTGGACCTCGGGAACCCCCCGGTTTCGAAAATCGACCATGACTGCAGCGAGTCGCAGCTGGATAAAAGCGAGCCTCCTATCGTAATGTACAGAAACTTTGGTAAAGTAAAAACGACAGCGGGGTAATATGGACACATCCAATCAAGCACTGCGTATCCTAGGATGGGCGGAGTTTATTGCCCATCCATCACGCTTGCATGCCATATTTAGTAACACGCGAGCAGGGGAGTTGATATATGACGGGAACCACGTGATCAACCTAACACAGACCACATCCATTGAAGACGTCGAGGTCAATGTGTATAAGTAAGTATACACACCAATTTCATGCATGCTTCTATCTAGTCACCATCTCCTTGTGAGATGCAGTTTTTCGTTATTTGAAGCCCTACTCTGGCTCTTGCCAGGGGCCGCAGTATAGCCCGGCCATAAATATGGTTTGCAGGCTGAACGCGGTTTCTGGGACCTCTCCACGGGTGATCCTCATCCACATGGTAGCACTTTGTGCCATCGGGTGTTTATCGCTTGTGTGATGTCATGGTGGGGTAAAAAAAGATAGATAGAATTCCATGCAGGGGCGCGGAGGTGAAGAAATCAGTGGGGTGGGGGTGAGGGACGGATGTGACTGGTGGGGGGAAAAGGGGGAGGGGGTGGAGTTTGCAGGGCTAAACGGTATCATCTTCTTTATAAATTTGTGGGCGGGGTGGGGCTCAAGGCAGTGACGTCGAAGTGAAGGAAACATGGCGGTGGGAGGAAAGGGACGCTTGACCACAACACATTTTGTATGAGTGAAGGCGCGCCCGGCTCTCTAGCGTAGTTGGCTAAACCGGATTGCGCTGTGACCGGGTGACGAACTCCTTGTGGTCCGGGTTCACTCCCGGGGGTAGACAGAAAGCCACATTTTCTCCCAGATTTACGGTATTTACAATGGAATCAAGGCCGAAAGGTTACGATATCCATAATACCGAGCCTAAGGGTTAACAACTCATGGCTTCTGGATACTAAAAGGTGCTAAGTTTTAAAAAAAATCATCATTATCATCATCATCATCATAACACATTAATTGTGATAATATATTTGAAATAATGCGTAAAAGAGAACTATATATGGTAAGCGGGCATATTAGACCTCTTACAAACTTTCTAGGTAGGGGAGGGTTGAGCATCTCTCTCTCTCTCTCTCTCTCTCTCTCTCTCTCTCTCTCTCTCTCTCTCTCTCTCTCTCTCTCTCTCTCTCTCTCTCCTCCTACAATCTTCCACAACACCCCTTCCTTCCACGTTCCGGCATCTGTGCCTTAGTGAAACAGCAGGTTTGTTTAACGAGTGCCCAAGACTCAGACACTCCAACTACAATCAGCATTCAAGACAGATGGAACCAGATCAAAGAAACATACAAATCAACTAGCAATAACATATTAGGAACCAGGAAACAACACCAACTACAATCAGCATTCAAGACAGATGGAACCAGATCAAAGAAACATACAAATCAACTAGCAATAACATATTAGGAACCAGGAAAGAACACCAACTACAATCAGCATTCAAGACAGATGGAACCAGATCAAAGAAACATACAAATCAACTAGCAATAACATATTAGGAACCAGGAAAGAACACCAACTACAATCAGCATTCAAGACAGATGGAACCAGATCAAAGAAACATACAAATCAACTAGCAATAACATATTAGGAACCAGGAAAGAACACCAACTACAATCAGCATTCAAGACAGATGGAACCAGATCAAAGAAACATACAAATCAACTAGCAATAACATATTAGGAACCAGGAAAGAACACCAACTACAATCAGCATTCAAGACAGATGGAACCAGATCAAAGAAACATACAAATCAACTAGCAATAACATATTAGGAACCGGGAAAGAACACCAACTACAATCAGCATTCAAGACAGATGGAACCAGATCAAAGAAACATACAAATCAACTAGCAATAACATATAAGGAACCAGGAAAGAACACCAACTACAATCAGCATTCAAGACAGATGGAACCAGATCAAAGAAACATACAAATCAACTAGCAATAACATATTAGGAACCAGGAAAGAACACCAACTACAATCAGCATTCAAGACAGATGGAACCAGATCAAAGAAACATACAAATCAACTAGCAATAACATATTAGGAACCAGGAAAGAACACCAACTACAATCAGCATTCAAGACAGATGGAACCAGATCAAAGAAACATACAAATCAACTAGCAATAACATATAAGGAACCAGGAAAGAACACCAACTACAATCAGCATTCAAGACAGATGGAATCAGATCAAAGAAACATACAAATCAACTAGAAATGACATATTAGGAACCAGGAAAGAACACCAACTACAATCAGCATTCAAGACAGATGGAACCAGATCAAAGAAACATACAAATCAACTAGCAATAACATATTAGGAACCGGGAAAGAACACCAACTACAATCAGCATTCAAGACAGATGGAACCAGATCAAAGAAACATACAAATCAACTAGCAATAACATATTAGGAACCAGGAAACAACACCAACTACAATCAGCATTCAAGACAGATGGAACCAGATCAAAGAAACATACAAATCAACTAGCAATAACATATTAGGAACCAGGAAAGAACACCAACTACAATCAGCATTCAAGACAGATGGAACCAGATCAAAGAAACATACAAATCAACTAGCAATAACATATTAGGAACCAGGAAAGAACACCAACTACAATCAGCATTCAAGACAGATGGAATCAGATCAAAGAAACATACAAATCAACTAGCAATAACATATTAGGAACCAGGAAAGAACACCAACTACAATCAGCATTCAAGACAGATGGAACCAGATCAAAGAAACATACAAATCAACTAGCAATAACATATTAGGAACCAGGAAACAACACCAACTACAATCAGCATTCAAGACAGATGGAACCAGATCAAAGAAACATACAAATCAACTAGCAATAACATATAAGGAACCAGGAAAGAACACCAACTACAATCAGCATTCAAGACAGATGGAATCAGATCAAAGAAACATACAAATCAACTAGCAATAACATATTAGGAACCAGGAAAGAACACCAACTACAATCAGCATTCAAGACAGATGGAACCAGATCAAAGAAACATACAAATCAACTAGCAATAACATATTAGGAACCAGGAAACAACACCAACTACAATCAGCATTCAAGACAGATGGAACCAGATCAAAGAAACATACAAATCAACTAGCAATAACATATCAGGAACCAGGAAACAACACCACAAAGAATGGATAAGTAGTCAAACCATGGACTATATTGCCAAGTGAAAAATAATAAAGAGCCTCATAAATCACACTAAATAAGAACGTCAGAAAGACAAACTAATGGTAGAATGTAGCGAAATAAATAAAATGACAAAGAAAAGTGCCAGAGCTGACAAGAGAAGAGTTATGGAAAATCTTACAGAAACGGCAGAAAATGCTGCTAAAGCACATGATCTACAAACCCTACACAAAATTACCCAGCAAATTTGCGGAAACAGAAACAATTATCACAGCATACCCATCAGAGATAACCAAGGCAGACTGCTCACCACAGAACAAAAACAAGACATGCAGTGGACTAAACACTTCTCCGACTTCTTGAACAGACCTGATCCTGAAAATCCCCCCAGATATTAAACCAGCCTCATAGGACATTAACATTATTACTGAACCACCAAGCAAACAAGAAATCCTTAAAGCTATCCACACTTTAAAGAACAACAAAGCACCAGGCAAAGACGAACTGCCAGCAGAACTTCTCAAAGTAGATCCCAACACAACTGCTAGCATTCTAGAACCATTGTTCAAGGATATTTGGGAAAAAGAAGTGTTGCCTGATGACTGGACTGAAGGAACAATAGTCAAAATCCTCCAAAAAGGAGACTTAACAGACTGCAATAATTGGAGTGGGATTACTCTACTCTCAGTACCAAGCAAAATATTTTGTAAAATCATTATAATGCGGCTTGAAAAAGGAGTAGATAAATGCCTACGAGTGGAACAAGCAGGATTCAGAAAGGGCAGAGGAACAACTGAGCACATCTTCGCCATACGTAACATTTTAGAACCATGCAATGAATGGCAGAGACGTATATATATATTAATTTTGTGGACTTTGAGAAAGCTTTTGACAGCGTCCATAGAGACGGTCTGTGGAAAATTTTACGACATTATGGAATTCCAGAAAAAATAGTCAACATATTTGCTCTCTTCTATAAAGACTTTTTCTGCAGTATAAAAAATTACAATACCTCTTTCCCAGTAAAGACAGGTGTAAGACAGGGATGTGTTATGTCATCTCTCCTCTTTAACCTTGTGATTGATTGGATACTAAAGAACACAGTAGACAGGACATTAAGAGGCATATGATAGACTCCATTCACCATGCTCTAGGACCTTGATTTTGCAGATGATATAGCACTCCTATCACATAAACATGAACATATACAAGAGAAAAGTAACAGACTAAACTGCACAGCAGAAATGGTGGGACTGAGAATAAATACAAAGAAAACTAAGATCATGACAAACAGTCCAAACCAACAACCAGTGACCATAAGTAACCAATCACTTGAAAATGTAGAACATTTCACATATCTTGGCAGTGTGGTGTCCCTACTGGGAGGGACAGAGGAAGACATATAGTCACGTCTAAACAAAGCTAGAGCTGCTTTTCGAAGGATGAAGCAAATCTGGAAATCCAACAATTACTGCAGAGAAACAAAACTCCGACTCTAGAAGAGCATCATTTTGCCAGTTCTTCTTTATGGAGCGGAATGCTGGAGAATGACCAAAAAAGACGCACACAAGCTGTCCACCTTCCACCACACATTACGTAGAATTATCAAAATTTTCTGGCCAGATACAATCTCAAACAAACTACTTCAAGCCACAAAGCAAGAAACTTTAGACAGTATGATTACCAAGAGAAGATGGAAATGGCTTGGCCACGTTATGAGAATGACTTCTGATATACCTGCCAAAACAACTCTCACATGGACACCAGAGGGAAAGAGAAAACAAGGGCTCCCAAAAACAATATGGAGACGAACGATGGAAACTGACTTGAGTGCGGCATCTTTGACATGGAAAACTGCACTGAAGGTTGCACAAGACAGAAAAACATGGAAAGTCCTCTCTGAAGCCTTATGTGCCACTGGGCATAACGAGAACTGTTGAAGACTCAGAAGAGACATGTGACATGATACCAAGTATCTGCGGCAAGGTCTCGAGAGGATATAATTCCACGATTTGGAAATAATAAAAGAGCAGATTTAAAGAAGAAGAAGAAGAAGAAGAAGAAGAAGAAGAAGAAGAAGAAGAAGAAGAAGAAGAAGAAGAAGAAGAAGAAGAAGAAGAAGAAGAAGAAGAAGAAAGAAGAAGAAGAAGAAGAAGAAGAAAAAGAAGAAGAAGAAGAAGAAGAAGAAGAAGAAGAAGAAGAAGAAGAAGAAGAAGAAGAAGAAAGAAGAAGAAGAACAAGAACAAGAACAAGAAGAAGAAGAAGAAAATCAACAACAACAACAACAGCAACAACCCCGACTTTACCCTACTTCACTGCTTGTGGCCAAGATAAACACCTGCTGATAAATATTTCAGGGGCAATTGTATTGGGAAGAGGAATGTCTGGAACTGGGCCGGAAACTGAGCGCAGACATCAAATGGCGGATGAAATCAGACGCCTCGATTAAAAGGCGGAAAACAAAATTAAAACAACTGTAGTCTTGTCAGAAACTCCTGTCTAAGACATTAGAAGTTTGCAAAGCATCAGTTTTATGGGAATTATCTGGTAAACGAGAGAGATATGTACTCGTTCCGTGTAAATGAGGTGTTTATCAGATTTTTTGAAATGTAACTCTTAGCCACAACGGCACAGAAAACTCACGTGGAGATCAATTCTCTCACATCTGTATATTTCACACATTAGCTTACTCAGTCACTCACTGGTTCTCTTTCACCCTCTCTTCGAGTAGCTTTCTTTCTCACGCCTTTTGTTCTCACTTTCTGCCTCTCTCTTTCTCTCTCTCTCTCTCTCTCTCTCTCTCTCTCTCTCTCTCTCTCTCTCTTTCTTTCTCACACATACACGTGTATTGTTTAAGATTATTTTTAATATAAACCTTATAAAAATATACTTAAAGCTAATACTTATTAAAAGAAATAGCTTTATTAACTTAACGGTTGAACGCGGTCCATAGAGAGGTCCCAGAAACCGCGTTCAACCGTCAGGTGACGCAAAGCAAGGTAAAGTAAGATAAACTAAAATAAGGTAAAGTAAGTTGAGGTAAAGCAAGGTAAAGTACCGTAAAGTAAGGTAAAGAAAAGTAAGGTAAAGTAAGGTAAAGAAAAGTAAGGTAAAGTAAAGTAAGGTAAAAAAAGTAAGGTAAAGTAAGGTCAGGCAAGGTAAAGTACTGTAAGGTTAAGTAAAGTAAGGTAAAGACAAGTAAGGTAAAGTAAAATAAGGTAAAGAAAAGTTGAGGTAAAGCAAGGTAAAGTACTGTAAGGTAAAGTAAGATAAAGTAAGTTAAAGAAAAGTAAGGTAAAGTAAGGTAAAGAAAAGTAAGGTCAAGTAAAGTAATGTAAAGAAAAGTAAGGTAAAGTAAGGTCAGGCAAGGTAAAGTACTGTAAAGAAAAGTAAGGTAAAGTAAAATAAGGTAAAGTAAGTTGAGGTAAAGCAAGGTAAAGTACTGTAAGGTAAAGTAAGATAAAGTAAGGTAAAGAAAAGTAAGGTAAAGTAAGGTAAAGTAAGGTAAAGAAAAGTAAGGTAAAGTAAAATAAGGTAAAGTAAGTTGAGGTAAAGCAAGGTAAAGAAAAGTAAGGTAAAGTAAGGTAAAGTACTGTAAGGTAAAGTAAAGTAAAGAAAAGTAAGGTAAAGTAAGGTAAAGTAAGGTAAATAAAAGTAAGGTAAATAAAAGTAAGGTAAATAAAAGTAAGGTAAAGTAAAAAAGGTAAAGTGAGTTGAGGTAAAGCAAGGTAAAGTACTGTAAGGTAAAGTAAGGTAAAGTAAGGTAAAGAAAAGTAAGGTAAAGTAAGGTAAAGAAAAGTAAGGTAAAGTAAGGAAAAGTAAGGTAAAGAAAAGTAAGGTAAAGTAAGGTAAAGTAAGGTAAAGAAATGTAAGGTAGAGTAAAGTAAGGTCAGGCAAGGCAAAGTACTGTAAGGTAAAGTAAGGTAAAGAAAAGTAAGGTAAAGTAGGTAAAGTAAAGTAAGGTAAAATAAGGTAAAGTAAAGTAAGGTAAAGTAAGGTAAAGCAAAGTAAGGTAAAGTAAAGTAAGGTAAAGTAAGGTAAAGTAAAGTAGGTAAAGTAAAGTAAGGTAAAATAAGGTAAAGTAAAGTAAGGTAAAGTAAAGTAAGGTAAAGTAAAGTAAGGTAAAGTAAAGAAGGTAAAGTAAAGTAAGGTAAAGTAAAGGTAAAGTAAGGTAAAGCAAAGTAAAGTACTATTTTCCAGGCCTTTAGGCTTATTGGGCGTATAGGGCTAGGCCTATACTTTATGGACCAATCGGCACTTGGTTGGTGATATGGTCAGCATCACGCCGGCCGTCTTTACTTTCCAGGACTGTTCCTCGTACCCACTCAAGGCTGGGTCTACCTGGGAGCCAAAGCCTGTCTCTGTCATGACCGGAACCCACGTCCTTCAAATCCACATCTGAGCGTTTACCCGCTACACCAAAGTAGCTCTGTCAACAGGTTGCGTTTCAACATTCAAAAAATGTACACTGAATGTTGTCTGTTGCAGAGACAACATCGTGTTAACTACGAAAACACAGAACCAGCTGGCTTTAGTTCACGACATGTTCTTCCAGCGGATGTTGCTGCTACGCATCACCATCGACCACACGGAGATCTCCAGCAAGTACAGCGTGGAGACTGTCAGCATTGTTGAAGGTGAGGATGGGAGATTGGGTGCTGTGTGTGGCTGAAGGTGGGGGCGGGGTGTGGTTGAGGGTGAGGGAGGGAGACGGGTGCTGTGGTTGGCTGAAGGCGGGGGAGGGCGATGTGTGGTTAGGGGTGAGAGAGGGATATGGGTTCTGTGTATGGGTGAAATTGAAGGAGGGAGATGGGTGCTATGAGTGGCTAAAAGTGAGGGAAGGAGATGGATGCTGTGTTTGTCTGAAGGTGTATATGGCTGAAGGTAAGGGAGGTTGATGTGTGCTGTGTGTAGCTGAAGGTGATGGTGCAGTGTGAGGTTAAATGTGAGAGAGGGAGATTAGTGCTGTGTGTGGTTGAATGTAAGGGAGGGAGATGTGTGCTGTGTGTAGTTGAAGGTGATGGAGGTGATGGTGCAGTGTGAGGTTAACTGTGAGAGAGGGAGATTAGTGCTGTGTGTGGTTGAAGGTAAAGGAGGGAGATGGATGAAGTGTGTGGTTAACTGATGAGACTGTTAGCATCGCACGAGGTGAGGCTGGCTTATCTGTAATGTGTGTGTTTAAAGGTGAAGGTGGGAAATGGGTGGTATGTGTGTACGTGGTTGAAAGGGTAGAACGGGAGATGTGTGGTGTGACCGTGCGCAGTGTCGAATGTGAGGCTGGCAGATAAGTGGTGAGACTTACAATATGCATCGTTGAAGGTTAGGGTAAGAGATGTGTAGTGTGTAGGCAGCGGAGAGAATGCTAGATGTGTAGGCGGCGGTGAGGTTGCTAAATGTGTGGTGTGTAGGCGACGGAAAGAGTGCTAGATGTGGTGTGTGTAGGCGACGGAAAGAGTGCTAGATGTGGTGTGTGTAGGCGACGGAAAGAGTGCTAGATGTGGTGTGTGTAGGCGACGGAAAGAGTGCTAGATGTGTGGTGTGTAGGCAGCAGAGAGGGTGCTAGATGTGTGGTGTGTAGGCGGTGGAGAGGGTCCTAGATGTGTAGGTGGAGGCGAGGTTATGAGATCGGTGGTGTGTGCCGGTGAAGGTGGAAGATGGGTGATGACTGTTGTCGAAGGTGAGTTTGGGAGATCGGGTGGTATGTGTTAGTGTGGGTAGGTTAAGGTATCGGTGGTATGTGTTAGTGTGGGTAGGTTAAGGTATCGGTGGTATGTGTTAGTGTGGGTAGGTTAAGGTATCGGTGGTATGTGTTAGTGTGGGTAGGTTAAGGTATCGGTGGTATGTGTTAGTGTGGGTAGGTTAAGGTATCGGTGGTATGTGTTAGTGTGGGTAGGTTAAGGTATCGGTGGTATGTGTTAGTGTGGGTAGCTTAGGGTATCGATGATATGTGTTTGGGTAGGTTAGGGTATCGATGATATGTGTTTGGGTAGGTTAGGGTATCGATGATATGTGTTTGGGTAGGTTAGGGTATCGATGATATGTGTTTGGGTAGCTTAGGGTATCGATGATATGTGTTTGGGTAGGTTAGGGTATCGATGATATGTGTTTGGGTAGGTTAGGGTATCGATGATATGTGTTTGGGTAGGTTAGGGTATCGATGATATGTGTTTGGGTAGGTTAGGGTATCGATGATATGTGTTTGGGTAGGTTAGGGTATCGATGATATGTGTTTGGGTAGGTTAGGGTATCGATGATATGTGTTTGGGTAGGTTAGGGTATCGATGATATGTGTTTGGGTAGCTTAGGGTATCGATGATATGTGTTTGGGTAGGTTAGGGTATCGATGATATGTGTTTGGGTAGGTTAGGGTATCGATGATATGTGTTAGTGAAGGTAAAACATGGCTGGTAACTGTTGTTAAAGGTGATGGTGGAAGGGGGGGGGGGCAGGGCGTGGGTAATGCTGTGTTTGACGTTTGGAGATATGTGGTAAGACTGTGAGCATTCTTGAGGATAAAGATGGGAGGTGGGTTACTTCGCAACAAAGCCATTCATAATTTACTTTAGGTTCAGAACTGCCATAGCCAAACAATAAAATCGACGCCCAGGAAATTGACTGCGTGACGGTGCTTATACAACTTATTCTGCGACCGAAAAAAAAAATGCCGTCTTGTTCAGAAGTAGACCTAACCAGCTGCTACACATTACAACAGTTTTCTTCGCCTACTTGTGTCCTACTTCTTATGTTGTAAGGGGTGGCAGAAAGTAGTTATATGAGATTTCCTGGCTTGTGTCTTACTGCGTATACTTTACAGCTTGGCAGAGAGTAGTTATATGAGATTTCCTGGCTTGTGTCTTACTGCGTATACTTTACAGCTTGGCAGAAAGTAGTTATATGAGATTTCCTGGCTTGTGTCCTACTTCTTATGTTGTAAGGGGTGGCAGAGAGTAGTTATATGAGATTTCCTGGCCTGTGTCCTACTTCTTATGTTGTAATCCGTGGCAGAAAGTAGTTATATGAGATTTCCTGGCCTGTGTCCTACTTCTTATGTTGTAATCCGTGGCAGAGAGTATTTATATGAGATTTCCTGGCTTGTGTCTTACTGCGTATACTTTACAGCTTGGCAGAGAGTAGTTATATGAGATTTCCTGACTTGTGTCCTACTTCTTATGTTGTAATCCGTGGCAGAGAGTAGTTATATGAGATTTCATGGCCTGTGTCCTACTGCGTATACTGTACAGCTAGGCAGAGAGTATTTATATGAGATTTCCTGGCTTGTGTCCCACTTCTTATGTTGTAATCCGTGGCAGAGAGTCTTTATATGAGATTTCCTGGCTTGTGTCCTGCTGCGTATACTTTACAGCTAGGCAGAAAGTAGTTATATGAGATTTCCTGGCTTGTGTCCGACTGCGTATACTGTACAGCTAGGCAGAGAGTAGGTATATGAGATTTCATGGCCTGTGTCCTACTGCGTATACTGTACAGCTAGGCAGAGAGTATTTATATGAGATTTCCTGGCTTGTGTCCTACTTCTTGTGTTGTTAACCGTGGCAAAGAGGAGTTACATACAGTTTCCTGTCTTTCGCTAGTTGCGTAGTCTGATTTGATATCATATCGTGTTTCTGTGGTGTTTCTTTCACTTCATCCACCCATCTCTTTCTTGGTCGGCCCATTGCCTTGTAGCCTGCTGTTCTTGTGTGGTACGCTCTATCGGTAGGCTGATACTGACCAGATGACCAAAATCATTTAATTATGTGATGTTCTATGAAGTCATTCACGGTAACTGTTCCTGTTGTTGTTCTTAGTCCTTTATTGGTAACTCTGTCTCTTCTTGTTTTTCTCCCGATGCATTTCTTATAATCTCATCTCACATGCTGAAATTGTGCGATGCCACAGACACGAACGACAAAATGAACGTTGCGGCTAGAAAACCTTCAACAGTATACGTCACAAGCGGTCAATTGTACAATGTAAACAAAAATGCGCGAAATTCTTTATCTCCTTGGTAAAATCTATTACAAAATCTCCACGTGCGAACAGTAGACAATCTCCCTACGTGTGTCATTGTAGGAAATAGAAACTGGACCTGACGTAGTACTAAAATGACCTAATTTGTAGTCGTGCGGCCATTACACTTCAAGCGCAAGAGAAAAGAAGAATAGATCAGCTTTCAGACAAAACAATTCACAAATAACTGCAGGGTTAGAACTGCCATAGCCAAATACCCTCTCCCTCTCCGTCATTCTCTCTCTCTCTTTCTCTCTCTCTCTCTCTCTCTTATCATTGACAATCCTCCACAACTACACACAAGATTTCCTCTGTCCGCTGATCAAGACCACCCAGTCTCATTGGCATGGCTCATGCTGATGGTGATTGTGACTGGAGTAAAGAACAGCAGACGCCGACAAGAGCACACCACTATAAACCAGGCACACTTAAGAAGCTAACATATCCTATAGTAACCACCAACATTGCCTATGAGTACTGTAATTTACTACACTACGCCAAGTACGATCTTGTAGTGAGACCAGTCTCTTTATTATGGACAAACACATTGCGACGAAGATGAACTGGTAATCAATGACACATTACAAAATGAAATAAAAAATACACTAAAGACAGGTTGTATAAACACCCCTTACCTGCGGGATCTTAAATGCCGACCAAAAACTCTTCCTGCAGTAAATGATGGGCCATTGCACGGAAAAACCGGTTTCTTCATATGAAGAATCGACATCATAGCATTCCGGGAATACCAACCCACAAATGCTCCGTTTTACAATGACTGAATTTGTGGACGCTAACTATTCTAGTAGTAAACGAACCGTACTCACATCACACCTTTCTTCTCATAATCCTTTCTTGTCGGAAGGAAACTTATTTCCATATTCACACGGAGAAACCGCGATCGTTAATTCACAGAATATGGATGGTAAACAAAACTCGTAGTTAACTAGACTGAGGACTGACAAGCCAGTCAGTTTACAACTGTGTATTCCAGAGAAATTTGACTAAAAAGCTCAACAAAATGGGAAAGAGGAAAACGTGCACAAAACAACACAACGTAACGTTTCGGCCAGGCAGCCTTTTTCAAACACAAGTGAAAGACACAAACGAGGAGTGGAGAGTATGTAGATCTCTAAGGGGTGACGTGAGCGACGTTTACACAGGGCCGCGGAAAATAAACCAAACATGTACAGTGACAAACAAAAACGTGGGTTTTACAACTGTGTATATGCGGGGGGGGGGGGGCAGTAAGTGAACATTTATCATGGCGCAAGTGATTCTAAAGTGCCCCTACAAAGTTAGTTGCTTATTTTATGCACTTGACAGTCTTCTGTCCAGTAGTTTCCCTATAGAAGGATTTTCAGAATACCGTGAACAAAGACAAAAACAGATACTGACATTCTTAAAAATCTAAACACTGGGAAGATTGGCTTGTAAACAGCATCTGTTCTCCGAAACTGAAATATTTCGGCAATATGAATCGCCTCAGTGGATTGGGAACAAAATTAATAGCAGAAGGCTTGGTACGATGAAAGAGGGACAGGGGCGAAGATGAAGACAGGACATAAGTGACTCGGTGGGTAGGAAATGGCGAGAGAACGAGTTTCTTTTAGGCAGGCCGTGATGTTTGACGTTTTGGGAAAGATCTGCTACGTGATGATGATGACGATGAGATTCCTGTTGACCTGAATATTCGGTGCTCGACACCATTGTCGACATTACCGCAAAGCGATCTGCTGCCAAATCGCCTGCAACCGGAATCGAAACGGGATATTTCGGATTTGGGAAACGCGCTGGCTAAAGCACAGACACCGGCCACGTCCCGACATTCGAGGGTTTTCTGTAAACAGTTGAGTTCTGGTCCTATGTTGGAGCTCTTTAGCTCAGCAGGCTGCTCTGTCCAATTCTATATAGGTTAGTTGCTTATCCTTTACAGGACGTTGCAGAACCAACCCCAACAGCCCCTGGCTACTGTGTGGTTTTTCTTGGCAAATTTACGTCCAGTAGTTTGCCTTTGTTTGCTGGATGGTCAGCTTTCTTGATACCACCGTCGAAACCAACCCAGGGCGCATGGCCCGCAGCTGGGATCGAACCCGGCATCCAGTCATTACGAAGCATTCGCATCCACTTAGCCACAGAGCCGACCCAATTCTATGTACGCACGCAAAAAATAAGTCGATGTGTTAGAGTTTATGTTTGCATACGCGATTAATATAAGTGTATGTGCGCGTGTGTGTGAGTGAGTGAGAGAGAGAGAGAGAGAGAGAGAGAGAGAGAGAGAGAGAGAGAGAGACTGTGTGTTTAAGAAAGGGTGTGTGTTGTGTGTGTGTGTGTCTTTGTATGTGTGCGTGCGTCGCGCGCGCGCGTGTGTGTGTGTGCTTAGTATCATATCTTTCAGAGCATTTCTCTATTTAATTAGAAGTTTAGGTTTGAGATATTTACAACAATATAATATATTACAATAGTTTGCACTACTTTCACATTTTACAGATGATTTCGCTGTTTTACTCAACGGCCAACATCCTTCAATCCGGCAGCAAATAAAATCTGGTTTCCAGGCTTCCATGCATTATTTAAACAGGAATCAGAAATTCTGCCTCGAGGTAAGTTGACAGTTCATGAAATCCTCCTTCTACTTCTCATCTTTCTGCTGTTTCTTCTTCTTCTTCTTCTTTTTCTTCTTCTTCTTCTTCTTCTTCTTCTTCTTCTTCTTCTTCTTCTTCTTCTTCTTCTTCTTCTTCTTCTTCTTCTTCTTCTTCTTCTTCTTCTTCTTCTTCTTCTTCTTCTTCTTCTTCTTCTTCTTCTTCTTCTTTCTTCTTCTTCTTCTTCTTTCTTCTTCTTCTTCTTCTTCTTCTTCTTCTTCTTCTTCTTCTTCTTCTTCTTCTTCTTCTTCTTCTTCTTCTTCTTCTTCTTCTTCTTCTTCTCCTTCTTCTTCTTCTTTTTCCTCGTCCTCCTCCTCCTCCTTCTCTTCTTCGTCTTCTGCTGCTGCTGCTTGATCTTCTTCTGAAAGGTTGACATAAGTAAATAAACAGGGATTCGCTAATGTCTGGTGTATGTCCTTATATTAAAACCAGTTTCTGTTGACTGGCTGACTGACTGACTGACTGACTGACTGACTGACTGACTGACTGACTGACTGACTTTCTACCCCACCAGGACATCACACAAGCGATAAACACCCGATGACACATAGTGCCACCATGCGGATGAGGATCGCCGTGGAGAGGTCCCAGAAACCGCGTTCAGACATTTGGCCATATGTATGGCCTGCCTATATTGCGGCCCCTGGCAAAAGCCAGAGTGGGGCTTCAAATAACAAAAAAAATTACGTCCTAAAAAAGGACGTGAGGATATTGTCAGACACCAGTTTCTGTTATATGTTGTCTCCTGCAGTTAAGTAGAGGGCGGGAGAGAGAGGCGAAACTCAAACTTCTATTCCAAAGCCAGATGTGTCGCTGTGATAACGTCCTATGCGTGGCTGGTTAGTGTACCCTTTGGGTTATGTATCATTTTCTTGGGTTTCATGTAAATGTGTATCCAGATCTGTTTGATTGCATTTTTATATAGATGGTTGATCAGATTTCATGTTAAGAGTATATCCAATCACTCTGTTGTCTAGCTATGAATTAACCGAATGGAGTTATACCCGTCTAATTTCACATGTTGTTATCTCCCTTTCGGTCTCTCCTGGGTAGAAAAAGGGCGGAATGGGGGGGGGGGGCTGTTAACCGCGGCGGAGTGGTCAAACCGTTCGCCTCGCGCTCTGAAGGTCGTGAATTCGTTTCGCAGGGCTGTTCAGTTCATGTGTGCAATTTTTACGGAGATACATGGGGATAGTTTCCGGAGCTACGGAGGTCGTGCGATGTGCGACTCTCTAAGCAGACAGCTAGCTGTTCTAGGGAGAAAGACTGAGTTATATCCTATGAAAGCATGTGCAATGAAGTCGATCCTCTCGCCTTTACCTTTACGGTCTTTTCCAGAAAATCCAATAGATTTTCTCTGGGATTTTCTCCAACGTTTGGCTATTTTTGTGACTATAACAACAGATCTGAAATCTCTTGGGAGAGCTCCAGAAGTAAGGAGAAGAGAATTTACAACAACAACAAAATAAACAAAATCTATCTATCTATCTATCTATCTATCTATCTATCTATCTATCTATCTATCTATCTATCTATCTATCTATCTATCTATCTATCTATCTATCTATCTATCTATCTATCTATCTATCTATCTATCTATCTATCTATCTATCTATCTATCTATCTATCTATCTATCTATCTATCTATCTATCTATCTATCTATCTATCTATCTATCTATCTATCTATCTATCTATCTATCTATCTATCTATCTATCTATCTATCTATCTATCTATCTATCTATCTATCTATCTATCTATCTATCTATCTATCTATCTATCTATCTATCTATCTATCTATCTATCTATCTGTCTATCTGTCTATCTGTCTGTCTGTCTGTCTGTCTGTCTGTCTGTCTGTCTGTCTGTCTGTCTGTCTGTCTGTCTGTCTGTCTGTCTGTCTGTCTGTCTGTCTGTCGGTCAATTTTTTAATCTATCTATATGTCGATTTAACCATACATCCTTCTCTGCCTGTCAATGTGTCCTTTCCTCCGTCTGTCTTCTGGCTATCAGACTATCCTCCATCCGTCTGTCTATTTGTCTGTTTGTCGTTCTGCCTATCTCTCTATCAGTCTATCCGTCTTGGCATCATTATTACGACAGCATTAATCTGACTCAGGTCAACCCTAACAGATTCTGTTAACCTGGCTGTTAAAACCGTCTGTGAACTGTTTAACAGCATAGCTTCATTGATTGCGCCTTGAACACAACCGCCGGACTGTTGCATGACAGAAAATAACCTTTCACCTCACCACTTAGACCTTGACCTGCCGCATATGACGCAATCACGTCGAACTGTGAGGAGATAAGGGCCATGTTCTACGACAGAAGAAAGACAAGTGTGAAATTACTGGGTATTGATTGCACCTTATGGAAGACGTCACCACTACCTAGTGCCGCTCCACGATGCAAGTCGCCTCTAATGAATCTCAAGCCAGAGTCGTCCTACTTCTTCAGAAGGAATTCAGACTTGCTTCTCTCTGTCCATCTCTTCGTGCTTCTCCTCCACTTTCTCTCGGAGACGCCTTTAACAGTGTGTGACCCGCGTACCTTAACTGTCAGATTTTGGTCTCATTCAGTTTTCTTCGATCACAGTTTTATATATATATATATATATATATATATATATATATATATATATATATATATATATATATATATATATATATATATATATATATATATATATATATATATATGTGTGTGTGTGTGTGTGTGTGTGTGTGTGTGTATATATAAAGGATAAAGTTGGGAGGATCGAATTCATTCGCAGTGGGTTTTATCCCATATGGCTCGGCCTCTTTTCACAGAACGGCTGGCTGCCTGTCAAAAACGCTACATCGAGCACGAATTCCGTAGCTCCGGCGACGATCCACATGGATCTTGGTCAAAATTGCGAACGCAAACTGAACGGCGCAGCTGTGAAACGAACCCACGACCTTCAGAGCGTGAGGCAAACCGGCTTGACCATGTCGTCACGGAGACTCCCTAAAACGAGCTTCCACGAGGGAGGCCAAAGGTACTGCTCTGTTTTCCATCCACGATACTGAACTGATTGCACAGAATCGAACGATATGGAGGAATCGACTACGAGCTGTATTTGACATGTATATTCTGTGGGTTCAGTCCCAGAAGTTTTAAGGTGTTTTTCCAACAGTACAATTCTCCGAATGGATACGAAATCTTGAATCTTATGTGGGAGACCTAGGTTCGAATATTGACTAAGGAGATTTTTTTTTAAATTTATTATATTTAGTAAGTATTAAAAAAAAAAAAGTAAAGATCCCTTTAAGGCGTATCGGGCATAAAGGAAGAGCGCCCATATTTTTACAGACCCATCGACACTAGGTGAGTAATGTGATTAGCATTACGCCGGTTGATTTTACTTCCCATCCTGGTACCCATTTTAGGCTAGGTCGACCTGCAACGCCCCATACCACGATAAAATCCTCGCAGCCAGCATTGGGTTTCGATCGCGGTACGTAATTAAACCTCTCTCTCTCTCTCTCTCTCTCTATATATATATATATATATATATATATATATATATATATATATATATATATATATAAAACAGTCCGTCCATCCGTCTGTCTGTCTCTCAATCTATCTGTCTCTCTATATCTTTCTCTATCTATGGGGAGTTGATCGCAGGGCCACAATACTGGCAGACGGGCTTGCTAGCCTTTACCCGGACATGCTGACGAGTGTTTGGAAGGGCCCAATGTAAGTAAGACAGGCCTGCCAGCCCAATATGTGACCCTGTCAAAATAAATAAACTATGCTGCTTTGGTTCAGTATGTTATTAATGGTCACCCTAATTATAAGTGACCACCTAGACGTCCAGTGTTACTCTACATTGTGAGTGATGTCCCTGAGTCGCTAACTTTTCACAAGCTCGGCGCCATCGACAACTGGGTCGCTTATTGCGAATTCGCCCCCTGTCGAGACAGTATTGTCTCCTTTGATCGCATCAATTCTGCAAGAGTCCTTTTCAAGGCTCTTGGTGTAGTGCAATGCTAATACATTTTGTATGGCACACATTACCTGGTCACATTTATAATCTAAAACTCAACGTTCGGGGATTCTGGTTGAACGTGACGAATTTTTATCTCCCCCCCCCCCCCCTTTCCCCCCCTCAAAAACTGATGTTGATGATAAAGCTCGACGTCGGTGGCTTAGGTGCGGCGAACGCGCTGTGACTGAGATCGATCCCATCTGCGGGTGATTTGGCAGCAGACAGCATAGCTGCCGTTTCGACAGTGGTATCCAGAGCCGATGGTTAAGTAAAGCAGTAGTAAACTATTTAACGTAACAAATACCTTCTGAAGTGTTCTTCAAGCTGTTGTCCGCGGACCAGAACTAATCCACTGACATAACAAGAGTGTCCGCCAATAATCATTGTTCTTCAAGCTGTAGTCTGCGGACCAGAACTAATCCACTGACATAACAAGAGTGTCCGCCAATAATGAGTGTTCTTCAAGCTGCAGTCCGCGGACTTGCATTACTCCCCCGACATTTGCAGAGTGTTCGCCAAAAATCTCCAGCCAACGATGTAGCGGCTAAATAATTCTGAAATGATAAATCGAATTGATGTTATTGCATCCTTTCGTCTCTCAGAAACAACGCTCCAGCTATGAATATCAAATTAATACCTTTAAGCAGCAGATGTCTTATTAACTAACACTTTTAATTGTATAATTAGATGTAATACATAAGTGATGACGGTTATGCCGCTCAGAGGTTAGTGAAATAATTTCACAATACTTTCTTCGACCTCAGGCCGCGGGAGCTAACCCGCGTTGGTCTGTGTCATAATATATCGAAACTTGTTATTCGTGTTTGACTCCCTCTAGCTTAAGTAGACCATAAGTGAATTCTGAAATGAAAAGTAGCAGTTACATGTTTTAAACAAATGGCTGCCACATTCGTAGATGGTCATAGTTCGCCATCTCCCACGAT